TCCGACAGGGAATTCCCTGGGACTCCTCAGTGGAAAATCCCCGGTGTCGGTCGGCCGTAAGAAAGACTCAGTTGGTATTCATATAGCCTGCGCCTCACATCCGTGTAAAAGGCCGGAGGTCTGGTGACGATATGAGTAAAAACAAAAAATATGTACCTTATACAAATACCGCTGACCTGTAATTGCTACGGAATGCATTTCGTAGTTCCTACGTTATTCTATTATTTTCCGTACTACGCTACCGAAACATCCCAATTACGCTACGAAACGGTACTGACAGCTACGGGTTACCGAAAACTTCAAAATAACGTAACGTAGGCCAACTCTGCAGGTGAGAATCGATCTATGGGGCACACAGTGGGTCTACGGATCTGGGAGCCTGCAGAGAGCGTGCCAAGAGATGGGAATATAAGGAATTAAATCTACTAAAACGCACCAGTCCTTCTTCTGCCGAGGCTAAGCCACAAAACTTCCGGGATCCTGATTATACTTCGGGAAGCTCTTGGGACTATCTGCTTTGGTTCAAGGACACTTCTCTCGGGTTTTCATGAAATAAGACGAACCGCGCTATCACGAAAAGGGAAGAAAAATAAACGAGCTACTGGCCTTGTTTACAAAAAAACTTATTTCAAATGATGCCACTGTTGTTAACGTCATGCAAGCGTGATGGTCATATAGCATTTGACTTAGGCGCCAGCTCTCTTCCTTTTGGTAGCGAGCAGGACCTTTTAGCTGTATTATCCGATTTCAAAGCTGATTATATTTTAGTGTCAACAACCTACCTACCGGTCTTCCTGCATTATCTCATACGAACGTGGCATGTCCAGTAATGTGACGCTAAAATATATTTCTAGATCGCTAAGGTCAGCTATTGGATATAAGCTACATTGATACGCTTACTTATTTCAATAAGACTTATCCAATGAGCCACTCTCGGGGAATAGGGTCCTCGTGATGGACACACCACCTCCTGAGCAGCGCTAAAGGTCTCCCCGGAAAAACATACCGAGCCATTAGAGCAACCTTGACCGGCTGTCTGGTGGGGTAACCATTAGCCAGGACGGCATGGACAATCAGGGATTGATCCTGAGGGTGGGAAAGATTGCTGTTGTTCCAACCATCGGTGGAAATGTTTCCCCAGGTTTAGACGCCCTGCCGAGCCGGTGATCTGACCTGACCTCTCCTGTTTCAGTTCGTTTACATCCCGCCTAACCGGGGCCTGAAGCTGTGGAAGGGCCGGTTGAAGATCATGAAGCGTCACCTGAAGCGCTCGCTGCTGAAGAAACAGATCGAAATCCACGGCTGCACAATCCCCGAGCACTGTAGAGCGCAGCTCAAGAGGATATACGTCTATTGATTCCGGCGCCACCGAGCGGTGGCTCTATAAACTATAACTGTGCGTGTTACCGCGAGGTGTCACTAGTGTCGCTCAGCCGTGTCGGCGGCGGGACGTTCCGACGGTGTCGCCATCTATACTCGCTGAGCTGGTCTCGCGAGCGGAGAAGCTGGTCTTCTAGATACCGTGCCCGGCCGAGCGGGTCTCGCCGGTACAAAAGTGGCGCAGCGCGGCGCGATGGTGGCGCAGGGGACGATTTCGGTGATACCACCTCTGCCCTGGACTGGCGGAGCAGGCCGGCAGCTGTGGTCCGAGTGCAGGTGCACTCTATCCGCTGAACACTGAGACCCAGCCGCGGTTGTGGATTGTGTCAGTGTTTGTAGTGCTGCAGTGGCCAATGTGTGAAAATTGTCAATGTTCTGGTAGCGTGAAAGTGACTGATGATGTACTTTGTCATGCTATTTTTTGATGTTTCAGTTTGTTTTGCTGAATAACGTGCATTATTTTATTGAATGCATGGGTGTCAAAGGCAGCTGGACGTAGCTTGTATCGCTTGACTCACAATATGTAACCTTCTGTTACACTCGATTCACAACGATAAGATATTTATTCTTCTCCCGATGTTCGCCATATCGTCAAACATAACTCACGCCTCCCACATCATTCCTAACACTTGTAGATGTAACGAAAAAAGTAAGCCTTATTGCTGTGCCTTTGAGGTGCTGCTTCGTTCTTTTCGCTGTTTCGGGACGTTTGTAATCGATTTTCGTTGGATAAACGGACCTCAGCTTTCCACTTCACTGATCATTACCTTTAGCAGAAACGCTGGAAAACTTATCGGTACTTCGACTTTAAAATTGTGCCTGCTACGCTATGTGCCAGAAGTGTATTTATTGTCGCTTATTTATATGAATAAGCAAGCTTTAACATCATAATGCCAAACCACTGTATGCGCTGCTTCCCGGGCCTTGCCCTTTAGTGCCTTTTTGCTCGATAATCGCCCGGTCTAATCCACTAACAACACTTAGCTAACTATATCAAATGATTTTGTTCTTCTAAAGCACATGACATAACGTGTGTAATCATGCCAATTTCATGAACGGCGAACAAAATTATATTGACGGCGTCTGAAACTCGCCTAATCGATTGCGACTGTGTCTGCTTACCGCACCGATCCCCTATTTCGTGGTACCGATCCGCCTCGCCCTCAGCCTCTGTACCGCTGGTGTCTGTAGTGTGTAAATGGAGCGTACCTGATTCGGTTGTGCATTCGATTCGGCTGGCTCTGGACCAGCTGCGGCCCTGTCCAGCGTGGTCTGACGTCATATGTGACGTCATCAGTGGGCGTCAGTCATCAGTCCGGTGTGACTGTAACTGCCAGACTGATGTGATGACCGCTCTTCTAACAAATTAACCTGAATTCAGTAATGGGAGACCATCCCATGGTCAATTCGCGTCATTTTTCGGTGACGCCTGTCGTTTGCCAAAAAGTGTGCGTGACCTTGACCTTTGACCTGGCCCGGGTCGCAGAGGTCACCAGTCTGAGCCATGTCGTGAATGTGGTGAAGCATGTGTTCGCTGCCGTGTTGCGAATGTATTGTCTGTGTATCTGCAGTGAAATTCTTTCTACGTGAATGCGTATATAGAGGATGTTGTTGTGTTATATGAACAACAATAAATGCGCCATAGTTGTATAAAACAACAGACTTTGAAGCAATTCATTAAAAACAACCGAGAAATATAATACCGCAAGAAACTTGACTATCAATAAAAAATAATATCTAGGATAAACGTATGTACTCATATGGTAATCAATATCATGCAACGACGGCGAGAGTCGACAGAATGCTGTCAATGGCGTGCCTGATATTAGATCGAATTGGCAGATTTGTTGCAGATTTACGTATGTTGTATTACATCTGACACAGTTGGAAAACATGTGTAACACTAGCAGACATTGGTACATATAACTTTTTATTTCTACTTTTACCGTGTGCATGTTATACATATCAAATAACATCTATACCACGCAATTAAGGAACAATAAATAGAGATATTATGACGAGTTTTCTACGAGCAAAACACCAAAAATACATGAAATAAATAGGTAAATAAATATCCTCAGGCAGCGTCTAGATAAATAAACGCTATCTGCCTAGACTAGGCCACTTATGTACATACATTATACACATTACAAATACCTTTCACGGATGCCCATTTTTCAATACTAATGCATAGCCAGAACAATGGACGTGCAAACGCATAAAAGCTTTCCTAAACAAAATCGGACAGAAATCAGAAACAAGCATTCATTCAGAGCATAAGAAGCAATATCTCATGCATTCTAGGGCGTGTACGGTAGAATGATGAAACTTACTTAGAACTTCCAAGGTCTTAAGCACGTAGAACGCCAATGAACGTTATTCCCGGGTACGGTTAATTGGCGTTCTGTTGGCCCTTGGTCGAGTATTTTCCGGTACCCTCTGGTATAAAAAATGAAAAAGTCAGAAAATAGTCAAACTGTGAAATATGGGTTGTCCGTCTTTGCGGCACCAGGCCACGATTCACCGTCTTACTGTTCGGCAAGAGTTCGGGCAAGTTAGGGAAAGTTGATCTCTTGATGAGCCAGAGTGATTGATAATACCCTCATCATTTCACAAACTGCCTAAAACAAACCTGTGTCCTAAACCACTCTCCCACACTCCACAGTCACAACACTCAGTCTCCTACAGTCACTGCTTGTCGCTCCTTCTCTATCGCCCTGTAAACCCCGCACAGATGTCGCTCCAATCGCTCCAGGTGTCACTGTGGTCTGCCACCCGGTGTCGCTGCGGTCAGTCTAGGTGGCGCTGGTTGCGGGAACGTCCCGATACCGCTGGCCCAGCGGGACCGGGTGGTCGGTCTAGGTGGCGCTGGGAGCGGGACCGTGCCTCCGCAATGCCTCGCCTAACACCAAGGCTGCCTGGAAACGAAGACATCGCAAAGACAACATTAGAAGCGGAACAATCCAATGATATCCATGTCATGCGAAAATACGTGTCCATCCATATGGTCGATCACTCAGTCACTGACAGTGAGTGATAGTCGACAGACAGGTGAGGTATCTTAGCAAAAGTTCTACTTATTGTCACCTGACATTGTCATTACCCACTAGATACAGACAGACAGGCCAACGTTCTTACTTCATTGCTCATCCCCATTACTGACTGTATCCCACTATTCACTATCCCGTGTTTCCCAGCCTGCGACGGCTGCCTACCTTCAGTACGGTCTCCAGCAGCTCCGGCCGTGTCTCCGTCGCCACCTCCCATGTCTCTCTCCGTGTCTCCGGCCTGTCTCGGTCTCCGTCTGCCGTGTCTCCGCTCTGTGCGGCCCAGATACCGGCTCTCCAGTTTCGCCACCAGTCGGGCGGGTCGAATTGGAAGAAAACCGTACTGCGCCACAGCGATGGCAACCAATAGGAGAACAGCGCCGACGGCCGGAGCATACTGCAATAACGGAGGGAACGGTGATAGAGTCAGAAAAATCAAGACAACTCCGGGAGAACACAAGGAATGAACAGCAAACGCCAAATGGTATCGAAGTAAGTATTTTCCAGTCACAATACAAACTAACATCTCAAAGCACCATTAGCTTATTGCGATTAGCGACACAGTTCCTGGAAGAAAAGTTATGTTCTAATCAAGCGTTACGCTCCTTTAGCTCCAAAATTTGCGGCATAGGCGCCCATGGTCAATACCTACGAGAAGATAATCATAATGACCTGCGTAGTCCTCCATTGAAAGCTTGAAATGCAACGGCCGACGACTGGCGAATTACGATTTATAACTCGAATGATAACGGTCGATGCTCAAACCGTGTCAAAATAGATATCACTCCCTGTTAAATCCTATTCATAGTCACCGTGTTAAATCCTATTTATAGTCACCGTGTTAAATTCTAAATCCGGCTGAGTGAGCGCGCGTTCATTGACCTCTACCAGAGCAGGATGGTCGCAGTGTCGGTTATCGACAGTAGTCATCACGCTGGGGGCGCCGGAGCCTGGTCTCAATGCAGACCCCGCGTCAAGTCGCTGTTTACATGACCGATATCGACGGTCATAGCCTCTCATTGACGTGTTTGAGTGGAATTGGCATTGCTAATGGGTGTCTATGGAGCGAGAGATGCACTCAATGCAATGCAGCTATATTATTGGGATCAATAGCTGTATTTATGTCAAATGAGGTCCCATAATAGATTCATATCGTTTGAAAGTATACCCTGTTTTAGATCACGGAAAATGCGAAACAAGGAGTATGTAGACACCATTAACCCGGCAGGCGGTGGGACTCCCGGCCACCTTCCGCGCGGTGGTGGGGGGGGGGGGACATTTTTTTGCCCCCCCCCCCGTATCTCCGAAACTACTGGACGGATCCAAAAAATTCAAACGCCCTTCGATAGCCCTGTCAAATTTGTCCAGGGCAACCAAATTTCATTGACCTCGGGGTCACCAATGACGTCACAGGTCAGGTCAAAGATAAAATTTTTCACCGTTCACGGGGCTTCTAGGGAAAGCGCTATAACACCGAGTAAAACGCATTTTCTCGAAAATCAGCGATAAGGCGTCAGTTGTCTAGTACATATGTTGCTATTAGAGGTCACTGGTCATACCAGGTCAGGTCACAGGTCAGGTCACCAAAGGTCACCAAGGGTCACCACATAAGCCCAACTTTACTAAGGTTATGCGATGCATGTTTTATGGCCAGTTTTTCATTTCCAACTCAATGGTGTTGGTTATGACCTGTTGACCTGTTGACCTGTTGCTGGTTAAGTGGCCTTAACCGACCATCAGGTACGGTTAAGGTCACTTTCTGGTGGAGGTCAGGTCAAGGTCAGGTCAAAAAAGGTCAAATTTCAAAGTTGATATTTTTGCATAAAATGGGTATTGATTCGATGCAGCTCGTCACGGGGAGTCTAATGGTGGTGGTCTTTGTTTTGCGCTACGAGGTCTAGAATTGCTAAAAATTGAGTTTGAAAATTTGACGTCATCAATTTTGAACAGTTTTTTCGCTATAACTTGGCCAAAAAAAGAGGTATCGATCTCAAATTCGGTATGTAGATAGAAGGCGGTAGGGACTATCACATATATTCCGGTTTTGTCGAAATTCAAAAATCTTTTTGGATTTTTCGGCTATTATATTCGAAAACCTATTTTTTTTTTAATTTTGGGGGTCAAAATCCAAACAATTCGAAAAACCGAAATAGAAGTTTTGTAGCCCTTTTGATTCAAAACCTTTTATCCCTCGCCGGACCTATTGGTTTTCTACATACGAGCCGGCCGAGGGGGGGGGGGCGGTTACGACCCCCCCTCGCCGTTTCGCCCCTGGTGGAGCTAGCGCGACGCGGAAAAAACGAGCGGGTGCGCCGTTACGAGACGCAGAGATTGGTACTCGATTTTAAAATCCTAGGTCAACCGGTGACCTCTGAGGTCAGGTCAAGTGCCCCAAGGTACGGTTCAGTTTTTGGTGAATAACTTCGCAAAAAACGGCCGCAGCGCCGCGATTTTGGCAGCATCGTGTTTGCCTCACTCAGGCGCGTCGAATGATATACTTTTTGTTCGGGTCAGGTCAACTTGGGGTGTTGACCTCAGGTCAAGGTCAGGTCAGCACCCCCAGGTCACGAAGCTGGTCGAAAGAGGTCATGTCGCATATCATTCGATTCGGCAGGTCTTCCTGAGTCCATTGGTGGCTTTCCCGACTCGCTAGCTCAATTTGATCAAGAGTTATTGACGAAAAACTAATATGACCTTGATGACGTCATAAATGACGTCACGCAAGGTCAACATTGCAAAAGTGACGCATCTAACCTAGCAAGGAGTGCATCAAATCACGATTCTGTGTGCTTGAGATAGTTGGAGATCGTTCCCGGCGCCAGAATAGCAGTTTTCATTTTTCCCCATTGACTTATAAAGGTGAGGTCACGAAAATGACCTGACCTCATATGACCTTTAGGAAAAATCCGAGATATACAAGTTGTGAGACTCATAATGGATACTAGATCCTGCAAGTTTCATTTCCCTGTGACATCTCCTCTGGCAGTGAGGGCGTTGCGAAGTTGCGACATCTGAAGACCGTGCAGAGGTTCACTTATGACGTCATAGGTCAGTGACCTGACCTGACCCAAAAATACGGTTGGTGTCAAAAGATCCGGCTTGGATCAAAGGTCAGGTATGCCAAGTTTCAGCTCTCTATCGCCAGCGCGTTCGGAGCTATCGCGAAAAACCCTATGGGGGGCGGCACCCCCCTTGGCCGGCGAGGGTTATGTCTGAAACATTTTTATGCATCTCTAAAGCTGTAGGCCTGACAGCTCTTCCCGGGAAATCTTTTTTTGGGTCCAAGGGCTCCGCCACGGACTTTTGGTTGGGGGGGACGGGGGACAATTCTTCGCTCATCGCCCTGTGTGTCCTCTAAACCTAGGGTACCCCCAAATCCTGTTTTCTCATCGGATTTAGGCTACTTATTTTTCGTCATAGCCCTGGCGCGATTGTTTTTTTTTAAGTAGAGTAAAAAAAAAGGTTTGCCCAGTGGCTCCGCCACGGAGTTCAGGTTAAGGGGGGGGAGCGGTCTCGCAAATCAAAGACGGTTGTAAGAATAGCGGGTGGCCAGCGGCCCGGCCACCCAACAAATGTTGGGCGGCCGGGCACGGATTAGGCCGGATGGGTAGCGCGGAGGCTCTTCGCCGTTCGGAGCGATGCCCAGACATGAATAGGTACATGCATGTATCTACTTGTCGCGAATTCAGTTGCGAATTTAGTTAATTTTTATTTTGAATCGTTTGTTGATGGTAAGATATACACAACACCTTAGTTTAAACAATGCTGTTGTCACCTTTTATACAAAAGCAAAGAGCTATATAGTTATTGCACTCGGGATAAATTAATCAGCTACTCTACATGCATCATCCACAAGGACCAGTCGATACCACGATATGTATTCACCATATGTTGGCCATTACGAGAACAGCGCTTCAATGCAAACGTTTGTTACCCTGCCCCAAACATTCTCAAACTAGAGAGAATTCAAACTAGAAACATTCTCAAACTGAGAGCATCAACCGATTTTAAAAGAATGTAGCGATTGATCCGAATGTTTAAACGATGTAACGACTTGTGAATTTTGAACTACGATTTTTTGTATTAACTTTGTTTTGTCATGTATCATGAATGTAACATGTATGCCCACTGATGATGGTGCTTAAACGTGCCGAAACCGGTCTGGAATATGATTACTGCCTTGAGCTGTCTTTTGGTGAAGTTTCTTTTACTTCTACGACCAAAACATGAACGACTTTTCGATCATATCAAGAGATCACACAGAAGATCTACGTTCAAAGACGTTTTCAAACTGATCGATCATGAGAAGAAGGCCGCAAAATGCAACCTGGACATCACGTTTTTAGAAACTTGCAAAACTTATGACATCTTTCCGAAGTTCTCAAACTATTGCAGCTAGCTTCAATGCCTTCATCTGATTAACACTCATACATCACAAATATAGATATTCACAATCTAGGGTATCACTACACTGCAGGTGATAGCGTCGGCCTCCGCCCACGCCGCCTCGCACCTCTACCCACGCGAGGCGGCGCCCCCTGACCACCGACCCGTCACGCGGGCCACAGGCGGCCCGGCCACCCAACAAATGTTGGGCGCCCGGGCACAGGTTAGCCCGGATGGGGTAGGGCGGAGGCTCTTCGCCGCTCGGAGCGATGCCCAGACATCTGCATTCGCTTACGTATCGTTCAGTATGGGATTGGGGCCCAATGGTAGCATCTGTGTGCCATAAAATGTAACAATGGGCGCTTTCATCTGGCGCTCGCCGGCGCGGACACTATGGCGACCGTCTAAAAACGCCTGTCCGTTTCACGGCCACTATCACGCTGCTTGCCGCTAGCGTTAGCATTGACACCAAGTTGTAATGTTCGTGCATTAAAATATCAAGATATTTCTGTTACCATTTGGGCGGTCGATTGTTACCTGTTATTTTGGTGAAAACGTTCAAAAGAAAAATGTAACCAATGTACATATGTGTATAATCCATGTTGTCCATGACATATGTATTATGTGGTATGTCATATCTGCACAATTTGAGACAGGGAGACATAATTGAGCCTGTTATTGTACAGTTGGAGACAGCCAAGCCATTTTTTCAGCTCTGTACATATTTGCACATTACGTATTACGGCAAAAGCCTGTTAACCTCCCACAACTTGAAAAATGAAATAAAAGGCGGCAATGGAGTTTGAAAGCAATCGCTTCCATATGAAGTAATCCTCCGCTAGCCATTTTTCCTTCATAGGCTTACCCCGTGGCCGTTCCCTTTCTTCTAGAATCTAGAGTGACAAAATCTGTAATACGTTTATATAACTAAAGGGGAAATTTGGACAGATTTTTGGGGGGGACAAAAGACACTATATCCCACCCAACATTTTGGTTGGGTGGGACGTGTCC